ACGGTGATAATAATTGCTAACATTTGGGATGGATAGATTCTTCTTTTAAAAGGCAAGAACAAGTCCGATACTTTCATTTAGGAAATAAAAAAGGAAGGAGGAAATGGAAAGTGAAAGTATGACCAGACACATATCTTTACTCATTTTAAAATTTGCAATCATGATTTTTATCTTCTCCTTTATAATCAGGTCTCTGAAGAGGAATTCGAAAAGGTGAAAGCACATTGATTGAAATACAATAGAACAAATAGGACTTAAAGAATAATTAATAGAAATTAAAAATGATATAAAGAGATACTTTATTAATTAATAAACCGAAATGCAACGGATGTAATAAAGTGGCGCAGCAAAAAGCCAAAGTTCGAAAAAGTTAAGCTGTTTGGTTTGTTCTATATTAATGAAAATCTCATTAACTTTGACTTTTGACCTTTTTACTGATTTAATATTTTACCTCGAGTTAAAGTCCTTGAGTATTAATTGCTAAACATTTGAAAAAGTTTTTTTTTTTTTTAGAAATTTTAAAGATAGACGGTTAGATCAACACTGCAAAATTATAAAGTAATCTGCTATCGCTGTTCTATTTTAATAAAAATAATATAGAAAAATAAAGCCGCAATAAAATGAAAAAAACTTAACGTTACACAGATGAATGAAATATTTTTTAAGATATTGATTTCAAGATAATAACAACAAATATCTTTCTAGGTGGTTTCGGTCCCATGAATCTTGGATTATTTTCCGGGATGATCACTACGGATCGTGTTCCTACCATTCAGTCATTCAACTCGGACGTTGAGTTAGATGACAGCATGGCCGCGACGGAAGTCGACAGCAAAGTCAAAACGAAATTGCTCTCTATGTGGAACAATGTTAAATATGGTACATATATCGAACATTTTGCAGACAAAATTTTATATAAAGATATTTCATACTTTGATTATTTATCTTATTAAGATTCCCATCATAAATTATTATAAAATATTACAAATTTATGAAATCATTATATTTAATATTAAGTAATTATAACAGTATATAATATTATAATTTAATATTAGATTGTCATCTTATTAATAACAAAGGCATTTGATGAATTTGTACGTAATAATACAAAAAATATTGCGAGAAATACCGAATTAAATATATATATTTTTTATAACAGGTTGGACTGTGAAGATGAAGACGAACTTCTCTAAGGAATCTCCCGTGTGGTTGTTAGGACAGTGTTATTTGAAGAAGTCAGAATATCCCTTAGAGAGAGCATCAGAAGCATTAGAGCCAGTTGGAACGGGTAGTCAGGTCTCCTTGGCGATGGATGCCACGAATTTCGAGAATACCATAGAGGAATTCAAGAGGGATTTCATGTCGCGTCTTTGGTTAACATACAGACGCGAATTCCCAATCCTAAACGGCTCCACCTTTACCACGGACTGCGGTTGGGGCTGCATGCTACGTAGTGGGCAAATGATGCTGGCGCAAGCATTAGTCTGTCATTTTCTCGGACGGGGTAATTATTTCTCTTTTTAAAATTTATTTTGTCGATGTTGAAAAGATTCATTGGACTTCTTTAATTTCGCAAGACTTCAAAATGATTGGTTTAGTTTCTTCTAAAAGCACAAAATTGGAAAATTTGTTTCTAGATAAAGTCAATATATGTAAATTTTAAATATAACTAAATTACAATAAAAAATACTTAAATTATTCTTAATATTTATAAATTTAAAATTGTAATTTTGTTTCCGCGATTTATTTGATAAACACACAGTAAATCTTTTGCATGAATTTGACTTTTATTAAATTGAATAATAAATTTTTTTCCTGATTTTATGCAGAGTGGAGATGGCGACCGGAACAATCGACTGACGAGAGCAGTCATCGGATGATTATTAAATGGTTCGGCGATCAACCAACGCCGGAATCTCCGTTCTCCATACATAAGCTTGTGTCACTCGGCGCTTCGAAGGGGAAACGGGCGGGTGATTGGTACGGTCCCACCTCGGTCGCACATCTCTTGTGTCAGGCTATGGAACGCGCCAGCGAGGATCCCAACAGTAAACTCAATCAGTTGGCGGTATACGTCGCTCAAGATTGTGCAGGTTGGTATCAACGAATGCAGCGTGACACATAAAAGTATTAACTTTTTATTTTAGTTTAATTTGCCGAAAAACTGACAAACACGTGACATTTGAGTCTGTGTGTATTACATTCATAAAAAGAAGTTTAAAAAACGTTTAATTATATAGATAGTTGAAAAAATTTTAAATAATTATTTTTTATTCTATTAAAAATATAAAATTTTCTATGATAATATATATAAAACAAAATTCCTCAAAAATTATATATTAAAAGTAGGATATTAATAATTTTTTTTCATAGAGGAGAGAATTTATTAAAAGTTTTGCAGATCTAATAGGAATTCCGCTGTTCATTTTATTATGTTATGCATGAAATCGTCGATAATAATCGTCGAATATTTTTTCAGTGTATATGCAAGATGTCGAAAATGTTTGCTGCACTTCAGACGGTAGACGAAAGGCATTGATACTCTTAGTACCCTTGAGACTCGGCGCCGATAAGCTAAACCCTGTTTACGCGCCTTGTTTGACATCACTGTTGACATTGGACACATGTATTGGCGTGATCGGTGGCCGACCGCGACATTCGCTCTATTTCATTGGCTATCAAGACGACAAACTGATCCACTTGGATCCGCATTATTGTCAAGTAACATTAAATTTTTTAGAAAGTAAATATCAATGTCTAAAATATATAATTTGCCTTATTTAATGTTCGAATTCTTAGTTTTTATTTTTCGTCTTTTGTTTACTTCATCCTTAAGTTAGAGAGGCATACATTTTTTTTCAGTTTATTTTTCGTTCTGTGTAGTTTTGTTTTCTGTGTAGATATTTTCTCTCAAAATAGATTTTAACTTGGAATTTTTTTAATGTAATTGATTTATTTACTCACTTGTTCAGGAGACCGTTGATGTTGAAGGAAATGAAAAATTTCCGTTAACAAGTTTCCACTGCACATCACCGAGAAAGATGTTACTCTCGAAGATGGACCCCAGTTGTTGCGTAGGCTTCTATTTTCCTGACAAGGAGTCACTCACCGACTTTATGGAAACAATTCAACAGGTAAATATGAACACATTGTTAATTTGAGCACATTTGAATTTAAAACAGTTTAAACAAACAAAAAGAAATAACATCGGTATATTTAACAACTCTTTGCATATTAGAGATAAAAAATAATTAAAACAAAATTAAATATATAAGCATAAGGTATCTATAAATAAAGAAAGAAGGATAAAATAGAAATGATTTCTATTTCGTTAACGTTGCAGTTCGTGATACCGAATCAGAATATAGACTACCCGATGTTCCTGTTCTGCGAGGGAAGCGGCAAGGATCTACAGCAAGGAATTGAGGTCGTTGAGGGTCTTCTGCCGTCTTCAAGTAGATTCGGTCATGACAGCATGGAAGACGATCTGTATGAGTGTGAGGAGTTCGAGTTGCTACACTAACAACATAAAAAAGGGAGGAAAGAAAAGGACGAAGCGGGGGTACAATACACGCGATTCCGTGATCATGTCCGTGGGAGTTACTCTCGCGAGAACATCTCTGCGTCTTTACCTGTTCGTCTATTCACTTTGCAACAGTAATTTCTTTTCGTATATTCGCTTCTACAGAGCGCATGTAGGAAAACAGCGAACTGGATATATCATTATGAAAAGGATAAGGCGCTTAGAATTGGGGGAGGACTGGCGCATTCTCGTCGATCTCAATGCGTGAATGAAAACAGGATTTGAGTTAACTCAATGACCAGTTACTGTTGCTTATGAGATAAGACAGCAAAAGGTTATTCCCAACATTAGTACAAGTCATTCGATTAAGTTGATTCATTCATACTTCTGATTAATATGTATATATATGCATATATATATATGTATATGTATGTGTATGTGTATGTATATATATATATATATATATATATATATATGTGTATGTATGCAATATTATTATGATGCATAACATTTCTTGTTACATATAATCTCGAAATTGACGACTATTGATCATTAATAATGGCTAATATGACTTAATATTGCAACAATATTGTTACAAAACATTTTTGTTAATCTTGAATTTAACGTGCGTTAAATTCTGTTAAATTGTTGAAAAATTTATAATTGTACATTTTGCGTAATTCTGTTTCTAGATATGTTGTAAAAAAATTCCGGGCGGATAAAATGCGACGATTCTTGAAAGTCTGATTCATTTAAAGGAAAGTTTGATAAGACGTTAATTTATTTATTTATTTATTTATAATTGAGTTATTCTTGAGTAACTCTTCTGCCTTGAAAAAGGAATAAAGAGGGATTTGAGGAACGTGAACATGGTATATACAGGGTGAAGCATCTAATAGTGTATGTCTAAATATTTATTTAGAAAAAATTTGATATTTGTACCTATTTATAGATACAAAAATAAAAAATGATATATTAGAATATTTATCTAAAAAAAAAAGCGAAATTTTTTAAATCTCAAAATCTATTACCTTGACCGAGTCTTTTTTTTCCTTGTTATTCCTATGAACTAAATTACTTCATCTTTAATGATATTTTCAAGGACAAAAAACATTTACAGTAAAATAGAGTAGAATAAATTAAAGAATAAATTAGAGTGAAGCACAATTCATTTTGTGCTTCAAGATAACTAATAAATAAATGTAATAATAACGTATGAGATGCTTGATCAATGACAAATAAATCTAGAATATTCTCTTTAAAGTGTAAGATTTAAAAATAGAAAAACAAGAGTAAAATAAAACAAAAAGATTAAAGAATCATTTAGATGTACACTTTTTTTAGCTGCCTTGCACTGTATATGTATGTATGCGTGTATATGCATATATATATGCGTATATTGTACTTATACTGTTGAATATGTATACAATATATTGAACATTGTTATATATATATATATATATATATATCTTACAACTGTAACGCTATACGCTCGAAATAAAATAAGAACAAGTGTGTGACGATTACGCCATCTCAGAAATATATCATCGACCATTTGAACGATAATTCCTACTTTGTAATTTGTACTATACTTCGGACTTTAGCCAAACAATAGCAGCAACAGTTCGTCATGCAAGTGCTAAGTCACGGAAACAAAAGATAATTCGGTTCAGTGCCTTTAGTTACCATGAAATCTCGTTGCATCACCTAAGCATTCCGCATCGGGAATCTCTACGAAAGCCTATTATGGTCGACACGATATCGCGCGTATTTACAACCTAATGACATTGACGCTTGTGTGCGTTCCTGCGTGCGTAAGAGAGCTCCGCGCGGATTGCGCTGTAGTACATGTTCTGTCTATTGTCGTAAGATAAAGAAACAATTGTCGGACGAGCGTATTTCCATTTGTTACTCGAGATCGCGTGAGATGAGCAAATTGCAGGTCTCAAGTAGGTCTGAATAGATTTGTCCGTTTTCATACTTATATAAAGAATACGAGAATATTTTTAGGCGTATGTTATCTAATCTAATGAGAAATCTATATCTATTTAATCCAATTTAATTCTTAGGCAGATATAAGAGAATTAGATGTAAATTTAATATCCAAAAATCTGTTTTTTCAGAGATTTCTATCGAAAAAAAAGAAATTTTCGAACAAATCTAGGTAGACCTATTTGGAAAACAGAACCGTCTGCGCGATTATCCGACATTCGAATAGAGTTATCTAAAAATTCGATCTCTCTGAAGCTCAACAGTATTGTGCCACGCAATTCCTGATCGCCGGCCACATTTCGTTGGTAGTGTTGCCGTGAAACTCCTTCAGTACTCCAATTTCACGATAAAACTGCAAGACTGGCTCGGTTTTCGTCGCGTAGTCCTGCAGTCTCTTCTGCACGACTTCTGGTTTGTCATCTTCCCTTTGACATAACGACTCACCCGTTACGTCATCTTTGCCCTACAAAAAATACGATAAAATTAATATTAAATTATTAAAATTTTTATTAAATTACAAAATATTATTACACTATTATTATATAAATAATAATTACCGGCAAAATATTCTACTCTCGTTATAAGTGAAATATAGACCGTATTTTTTATTATATTAGATCAAAATATTGTATAATAAGCTCTATCGTATTACAGCCTTGGCCAAAAGTATAAAGCACTCCTCTCCCCTTCACAAATTAACGTTTTATATCTGACGAAAAATAAATTTAAAAACCATTTTTTATGAAAAATAATATATATTTATTTTTATAATTTTTATATTTTTAAATTTTTCTTTGGATTTTATTGCCACTTTTTCCAAGAAAATGTCATAAATTAAACTTTATATTTATGGCCAAATAATTAATAGATTATAATAAGAATTCAGTAACCCTCTCGGCTTGTTTCAGCTTGCTTTTCAATGAAATAGATATACGCTCGTTACGCTGATTACCGGCACTCGTGGATCGTTGAAGCCGATGTTATAGACCCTACCACTGGGCAGATGAACCCATCTGCTTTTAACGCGGTCCAGAATGACGGTGGTGGGCACCACGAGATTCAACACAAGATTGATTGGATGTAGTCTCTGCAATCGCTCCGCCTGCGTCAACGTCCTCGGGAATCCTGCCAAGATATTTGTTCGCGTTTAGAACAGATGGCAGGTTCACGGCTTCAAGAGAGTGACCTCGGCCTCGTGACGAGGTCAGAATCATTTCCTTTCCACTCACCGTCCAGCAGCCAATTCTGATCCGCCATCGATCCGATCTCGTCACCGATAAGAGATATCATCGTGTTGTCTGGAACGAAGCTACCGCTATCTATGTACTTTTTTACTTCCTTGCCTAGATCTGCAAATGAGACATTTTCTAGTATACATCAATGTTATAATTTGATATTCATTAATATAACTGTTGCGTACAACGTATGTAATATTATATTTATATTGTCGAATGTAAAATTATAACACTGATGTTGTGCTGCTGTTAGTGGATTATCTAAGAACGCTTGGCCAATGGGAGTAGCTCTTTCTTTCATTAAATTATACTATATAATAATCGTAAAAATTTTGATATATTAAAAATATCATATTTGAAGGATGTTTTTAAAATTAACGAACCGATAAACTTACAATCTTTCAAGCATCGATAATGATGAATAGGAACACACAAACGCAGAATTTTTATTTTATATTAAAATCTTAGAATTTATTAGAATTGCATCATGAAGTTCTAAGATTGTATAAAACTATAATCAAAATAGAGCGATTGTGATTAGAGCAAAGCAATTACCGATTGTTTTGCTTTTATTGACTGAAAAGTAATCGTCATTCACAATCACGCAATCATTAGTATGATTACGATTTAATACATATGTTGAAAAATTGCCAGAATAATACCAGATTAATATTAATATAATATATATCGTATGTGTGTGTGTGTGTGTGTGTATGTGTGTTATAATAAATTGTACACATATTTAAAAAATATATAATATATATAAGGTGTCATAAATACGTTTGAAAATTTTGTGAGTATATTTCTGGATAAAACGAAAGAACAAATGTTTCTATAAACTTACATCGCAAATGTGCGTTCGTTATCAAATTAATAGACAACAATGCGCTAGTCATGTCATGCGTATCAGCGTATGTCGTGTCATGCTTAGGTAAGAAGGTAGGATAGAGAATATGCTCTTTGAGCATTTCACGTAAATAAAAAAAAATCACCCCTGAAAAACTTTTAAATAAAGTCACTATTATTTTTAGGAGTATTCGTTCTTTCTTTTCCAAAAATACCTCCCAAAATTTTAAAACACTTATAATTCGCTTTATGTATGTTATATAATGTACATTAATATTTTAAGTATGTGTATAGTAAAATATTAAATATAAAATATTAATCTTTATATTACATAATGTATATTAACAGTATTAATATTTTAAATGCATTACAGTCTATTAACATTAATATAAAACAAGAAAAATGTAATTAAAGATGGACAGAAAAAACTTCATCGAAATCAATAATTTAAACGTACACGTTATCGCAGTTTACACGGAATTAATCGTGTATGATTAAAATTAATTTATGTAGAATGTTGATGAAATTGGATAAAATTCTATGATAATGTGATGGTATCGAAGATAAGATTAAACGTGAGTAACGTATCTTATCGAAACAGATAAGAATTCTGACATGTGTTTTTAAAATTAGTTAATTGATATTCGCTAATCGCATTATATCTTTTGAATTATATAACGACGCGAAAATGAAAATAATAATAAAGTTTCATGTTTACAAAATTGATTAATTGCGAACACATCATATTAAAATTAATGATAATATTGACAAAGGAAACTAGGTTAACGATAAAATTTCTATTAACGAAAAATAAAAAAAAATTCGAACTTTCCAAAGGAAACAACAACACGATAACGTAAAAATAAATTGTAAATGATTGAAAAAATGATTTAATGATCATTTCGGAGTCATCTTGACATCATTTTATTATAATATCATGACTTGTGTTCAGTTTGGGAATTTTACACAAATTCACTGTATCTTATCGCATATATCAATTCAATAATAAGACGAAAAATAGTGAGGAACTATTGAAAACTTTATAATGTAAAACTGTACAAAAAATAGCTTTGCAATGTAAAGCTTTTTATAAATGTAACAGTTAAATGCAATATGACGTAAAGTCTATATATATATCATATACAAGTATTTCAAAGAACATTCAGGGCAAAGGCCACCGTTGATGACGACGATGACGTACCAGTGCCGGCGGACACGTGGAACCGTAACCTGTCGCCGCTGGAGATGTGCGCGACGCCAAACTGCTGGACGATTCTGGAGGAGACGGTGCCCTTGCCGGACGCCGGCGCACCTAGTATGACGGCCCTGAGGACCGTCGCGGCGGCGGCTTGACACGTGGTGATCGCCACCATGGGGGGGGCCGCGGTCTACGAGACTAGCGATTCCCTACGTTCGGCAGCGGCGACGACGGTGACCGTCCGAGTGCCGCGGTGGTCTCGCATCGTCCACGCCGGACTGACTCTACCCTCAATATCCCTACTGCCTCCGCGTGGACTTTGACACGGTGTAAAGATCCGTGACACTCCGGCGAAGCGCCGTGACGCACTGTGACGTAACCGCGACGCGCCGTTTCGTAACGTTTGCGTCGCGTCGCGCAGACTCGAGCAGACAAAACGACGGATCATGATAACGTGTCAGAGATGACAGTATGACATCAATGTGAATCGTAACTGATTGAAAATTAAGCGACTCTTAATAATCATGTTCAAGCCACTTTGACGTCATCATGATATTTTGTTCCGTTTGAGGGCTGGATAAACGCCGAGAGAGATTGAATGACCCGCGTGACCCCTGG